TTTTAACTTCATACAAAAGGTTTTAATTAGGGGTTGGCCCCCAAACCTGTCCTCCACATCCAAGGCGCCTCCTGCCCTCCTCCCCATCCTGCTCCGCCGAGGCTGGACGCGGGGGCTCGTGGTTCCCTCCCGGTGGGAGCCCACCTTGGCCCCTGCCCCGCGCCTTGCCATCGCCCACCCCGCCCTGCAGATCCCCGTCCCGCTCCCCAGCGAACGCGGCCAAGCTCCATGTGCAGGCACGGAGCTCAAAACTGGGTGGCAGAGCAGGAGGGAGGGTAATGCCACAGCGGGGCGAGATTGTGAGGTCAAGCTCTGTTTTATTATCATTATTAATTCCTAGATTGCAAGTCCTTCTAGAGGCCCCAGATGGATTCTCCCCACCGTATCCCCACACAAAGACTTTGGGATCAAGCCCCACACTTGAAAGCACTTCCACACGTAGCAGCAGACCCCGTGTCCCCCCCAGACCTCACGCCCCTGGGTGGGGACCGACACGGGCACCACAACCTAGGGACACCCATGTCTCCCTGCGCCCAGGCCTGCAGCTGAGCTCAGCACCCCACGATCCCCCTTTTCCCAGGAAAAAGCTTTGACAACTGATCCCGCTTCCTCTCAATTGCTGGGCCTGCTGCGCCGGTGCCCATGGCGCTGGGAAGGTGAGGGCAGGGCAGCACACGTGGCAATGCCTCTGGCAAAAAAAAAAAAAGGCTCCTTCTATTTCTGGTGGGCCTGAACATCGTCTGTGGCATCTCCTGGGAAATGCAACAGCAAGATCATGGGACCAGCCCCTCTCCCCATGCCCACGCCCCAGCACAGAGTGCAGAGCTGCCCATGCCAGCCAGAAATGCCCCCCCACACCCCCAGCCCCAAGAAATGGAGCCGAGAAAGACCCTGCTCCCGCCGCCGAGGCTCATCTCCATCAGCCTCACCCAGCTCCCTCTTGCCCTGCCAACCCCCCCCATCCCCGCCGCGAGGGGAGACCCCAGGGGCAGGACGATGCTCATGGGACCCCAGCAGCGGGCACACTGGGGAAACCCCAACGCTGGTCCCAGGGGCTTCACCTGATCCGAAATGGGAAGACAGAAACCAGAGTTGTGGCCGTAAAAACCCAAGCCTCTCCCTTCCCACCCAACCAGCCACCTTCACTATACGCGCCGCTGAAAAAAGCAAGTGGTTTGCAACATCCCTAAGCACGGTGCTTGGCTTCGCCCCGTGCTGAAGAGCTCCCCGCTTCTTCCTCCCCTCTAGGCCCTGCTCAAACCACTGTCTCCACCAAGACGAGAAGCAAAACACCGAAGAGGCCATGTGTCGCGGTGGCCCTGGACGTGGCAGCCTTTGAAGCTGCAATTTCATCAGCTCTGGGATGGCTGAACCCATCCGAGAGCCACACAGAGCAGCGAGGAGCTCACCAGCTAATACCTGCTTGGACTGGGCAACCTGGGCTAATAATATGAAATAACATGTGGGTGAATTTGTTGTTGCTGCCCAATTATACTTTTTTTTTCAGGCCTGGGAATGGCTACCATTGGGCACAGAAAGGAAATTTTCTGCCAAACCCACGAGACAAGTGGTAAAAGCCATTTCTAGGCACAGCAAGCCTCTGCGAATTATTAGAATCATTAGTGTTTTTGCTGATGAGGTTGCCAAGTATCGACAGGCCACGATGCCAGATGCTACGGAGCCATACAACGAGATCCCTTCCTGGGAGAATGAACAGCCTGTGTCCCCTGGGGCCCTTGTGGTGGTGACAGCGAGGACACCTCCAGCCCAGGATCTCCAACCACCACAAGTGGGCTGATCACCCCCTGCTACTTAGATCTTGAATTTGCTTTGAAACAATGTTGGCATAAAAAAAACCCTCTATGAGTCCCATTTACTACCGTAGCACAGAACATTAAGCCATTATAATGGAGGCTGAAAAGCTTGGACTTTCCCACTTTGGAAGAAAATCTCATTAAGTATCATTCATTATATTTCATAAAAATGTCATTTAACCAACTAGTTTTCTCCAAGTCCTGTTGTGCAATAATACTGCCCTGCACCAATGCCCTGGGAGTGCACCAAGCCATCGAGTAACTCAGCCAGGTCCTTAATTAACCGCGTTATTTGGGATCACATGTGTGTAAGAGCAGCCCACCCAAAGACCTGTCAAGCCCCCCATCCTCGTTACGACAGTCACCAAAAAGAGATGCTTTGGGAACAAAATTAGAGGAGGGCAAGCCCCTGGGGACGTGGCTTTGTGTGGAAGTGCCCGCGGAGCAGTTTGTCCTCCCCAAAGCTGCGGTGGCCCCGTTCATTTTCTGCATGTCCAGTCAGGGAGTCTATTTTCTCCTCCTGCCAACGGGGAAGAGTCACGTAGTGCCGGAGATTTGAAAGTAATCCCATGAACTAGGCAGGCGGTGGCAGGTACAAGAAGGTCTTCCAGAGTTTTCTTCATCTTTATCCGTTTCTGGAAGTCCTTGTTCGTAGATCTACAGGGAATCTCTGTGTTCAGGTAGCAGCTGCAGTCATCAAGAAAGCAGAGTATCTTTGAATTTCCTTCTGATTTTCCAGTCTAAACTTGAATCTGAATTCCCAGGCTGAACAGAAGGAAAGTTAACTATTTTTTTTTTTTTATTTGTTAGCCCTTCTGCATTTTAGACGAAAATTCAGTAAATGTGTGAGAAAATTACTGCAAAAAGCTGTCTAAAGTGGCATCACCCAGCTGAGTTAATGCCCTCATGGTGCTGCTGCAAAGGCCAGACACATCCTCTCCTTGCTGGCTGCTGCTCTGTATCATGTTCAGAGGCAGTGCAAAGAAGCTTGAAGTCAGATTGCGGCACCAAAAAGGAATAATTTTAGATGAAAAGAGTCAGTTCACAGTGAAGCTACATAATAAAGTGAAATGCTTTTTTTTTTTTTTTTTTTTTTTTTTGGTGAGAGCTTTTTTAGAGCAGGTAATTAAAAAAAAAGTAGGAAAGAAAAAAGCAGTAGGAGCTATTAAGGACTCAAGTGCTGGTCTAAGAGCATCCCTCTCGGTGTGGCGCTGACAGATGAGCCTGTCCACACTCGTGGGGCTCCTAACACCCCATCTTGTCCTAACTGCACCCAACTAAGCTGGCCCCATCGCTGCCTTCTCTGCCCACAAGGCTGACGTTTTGCTGGTGTCTTTGTCCAAAAGAGCGCTCTCCAGGTTGTTGTCTTCCAGCAAAATATGGGTCAAATGCCAGGAATGTCAAGACTCTGAGGGCTACACCAGGGCTGTTCTGTTTGTCCCTGCATGTGGCCTTGTGGAGATGACAGCGGTACGAGGAGCACAACCAAATCTACCAGCCTCAGCAAATAACAGTCATGCCTAAATCTGAGGTGGTGCTTCTCATGAACTACGAGTCCTACACCAGAGGTCAAAGTCGGCGTCCTTCGCTGTGCACAGGGAGACACTGAGGGCCAGGGAAGCGCCTTCCTTATGGACAACACCAAAGCAGTGAGGAAGCCAAGAGATGCCTCCACCCAAACCCCGGCCAGCCCCCGCCGTTGAGTACGCTGCTGCTGCCCGACACTGATTTTTACTAATGCGCCTCAAAAGTGCTTCCTCTGCTAAAACTACGGTCAGTTCACAAGGACTTTGATGGAAAGTATGGAGGAAGGATGAAACCAGCGTGCTGAGCTCCCTCCTCTCCAAGCACACCTCTCACCAAGCCCCACTTGGGGCCAAGTCCTCCCCCAAGACCCCTCCAAGCTCTCCCCCTCCCCACTCCTCACTCCGTCCTTTTACTTCCCCTTCCCTGGCCAAGCAAGAGGAGGGCGAGCAGCGCTACTGACTCTTCCCACCTTGGCAAAGTGCACAGCCGTGGTGGGCTTGAGGTCTCAGGATATAAATCATTTTCCCGTCAGGAAGACTCCTCTGCGATAAGCGCAGCCCGAGGAGGACCTGTACAACAGTAGGATCTGAACCCAAAAGCAGTGTTAGTCAGACAGCGGCTGACGTCATCTGCTCTGTCATACGCTCAGCAAGCGGCGGTGCTCTCACTGGTGGTCATGTTGATAACAAGATCAAAGGCTTGCAAGTATTTCAACAGAAGTGCTGGGAACAGTCTTGATCAAAATAAGAGGAAGGCCCTGTATACAGAAGACATGAGAGGTTTGCAACCCACATGTGAACCTTTGAAGTTATTATTTCTTTTTTTTTTTTTTTTTTTTTGTTTAAGAGGTATAAAACCAATCGGCTGTATAATCTCTCTATATGCTGCAAGCGCAGAACATTATCCACATGCAGACATCCTTTTGCAGTGGGGAAAAAAAAAAAAAAAAAAAAAGCACTGCCAGAGACACTCAAAAATAAGACAAGAAAACACACAATTAGTTTTATGGGATTTGAAGTTCATTTCATAAACCGACATACTTTTGTTACCAAGCATTGCCAGATAAGTCTGATAAATTTTCTCTTCCTATAATCCTTTTAACATTTCCATTCCCCCCTACAGACTTTTTTCCTTGATGTTTTGTTCGGCGCACTCCCTGCTATCTGCACACGCTTGGCCAGATTTTTTAGACTTAAAAGGGGCACCGTATCAGCATTAACCGTTCTATGAGAGCTGATAAAACACACATGAGCACTTTGCTATCTATTAACATTTCTGAACTGCTTCCTTCACCTGCACGGAATAGCAACTGAAAAGAGGGTGGGGGCAAAAGAAGCAAATGAGGATATTTATGACCAATTTCCCATGACTTATTTTTTCCACAACCCCTTCCTCACTATGCAGGAACGAAACGGCGCTGTCTCTGCTAGCTTCTTCTTTAAGTAAGTGGTAGGAGACTGGGTCTACAAGACTCTGATGGGCAACTGCTTGCCTGGTTTTGTGCCACTGGGATGGGAGAAAGGGTGCAGACACCACGCCTAGGGGATGCAGTTGTGCTGTGCACTCTCTAGTCCTAGCAGCTGACCTCCTCATAGG